TTTTTTTTACCCAATTGCACATGCAAAATATAAAAAATTAAAATGAATTTTGACTGTTTTTTAAAGTTAATTTTCAAAGATCAACTTCCATTTTTAATTTTTTTAAATGCAATAATCAAACAAACATGTTCATTGTTTTTAAACTAAAAAATAACATAAAATAACTGCTAAACATATTTTTATTTTTTACTTTTAGAAAAACGATGAAATGAAGAGAAAAAAGTCTTAATTCGTTCAAATTTAAATTATTTAGTTTTGATATCAATGTTTATTTCGTTCTTGAAGTTATAAAAAAATTCTTTGAGTCTCAGTAATTTACAGAAAAATAGTTCTGATATGGTCTTTTTATTATTATTATTWTTTTTATTTTTGTGATTGAACATGTGAGTTTGGCAATATTCTCTTTTTTYCTYTTTTTCCTTCTCTTGTCCTCTTCTTTCTTCTCCTTCTCCTCGACCTCRGATGATTTTATTGGTATCATTCTTCCYTTCCTCCCTTGTCAATATTCGTTGCATTTGCAYCTTCGTTACCGYTCRCAGTTGCCTCCGTCACCATTAAACATCCAAATCTAACAGAAAAAAGGGAGTTCMCCTTCATTTTGTTTTAGATCTGAAATGAAGGGGAAAAGCTCCACCTTCGTTCTAGATCTAAGGTGGTTTCGTTCTCATTTCTTCGTCACCAATGAACGTTGATGAGAGATGAGGGAGACGACAACATTGTCAAAGGTTACTATAGGAGGATAAGAAGTAAGGAAGGAGAAGAGAGAGGAGAGAAAGCGGAAGAAGAGAGAAAGSGGAAGAAAATTGCCAACTCAAAGATCCAATCACAAAAAAAAAGAAAAACAATAATATAAACGTAATTCAACAAATAAACAAGCCCTATTAGATAATAAATACCACGTAATTTTTTCTGATAGTAAAGTAACGGTCAAATGAACTCAATGACTATTTAAAACAATATTTCATATCTCAAAGAATAAAAGTGTCGAAATAAATACCAAACTTAAATTTTGAGGCAGCAACCTATTTTATTTTTCTTTTTTGGGTCCAAGAATTGTATTCCTTTTTCTCACATGTTTGTCAGTAATACAATAAAGATACATTAATATCTACAATATCATAAATTAATTTAAATTATTATTTGTACAAAAATTACAACAAAAAACACATATAAACCTCTCCCCCTCTCTCCCTATATATATATATATATATATATTCTTTTTTTTATTTTAATTAAACATCTGACATAATCTCGTTTGGCAAGATTCACATGGTTCATACATTATTGATATATAATATTACGGTTGCTTCATGATTGATTCACATTTACAATTTTTTTTTAATTATTTTTAAACACTAATCTTATATATAGATTTTTTAATACATCTTCAGTTCTCTTTATATATAGTAATGTTGATTTCATACATTATACCAATATGGTGGTAGGTTTGTTTAAAATTAAAAACAGCTATAAGCAATACATTTACCAATAATTTGTGAAATTTTAATATATTTGTTTCCAATACCTACGAAGGTAGTTCTAAAACAATAATAAATTTTTAAAAAACTATTTACAAATTGTAGTGCGTAGTTTTTAAGTTGTTTTTTTTTTTGGGGTTAGATTTGAAAGTTTAAATTCAAAATTAAATCTTAATTTTAAGTCATGAAGATAAATRTGTTATATATGTATTTTTTTTCTATAGATTACAATTTAAATAAGGGAGTTTTTATCCAATAGAATTATGCAAACTTCATAATATATAAATATTATTAATATATGCCAAAATATGTTATTATTTATATTTTATTTTATAATTTATAAAAGAATACGAAATTATTAATTACATCACACATTATCTCCACCTAAGTTATTCCCCTATTTATAATGTTAATAGTTGATATTAAATACAAAGCGTGTGTTAATTTTATTTTTATTTTTTTGAACAAAAAGCTTGTGTTAAAACATCAAAGTCCAAACATAAATTAAAAATAATTAATCAACTATATTTTTTCCTTTTTTAAGAAAAACTTTGTTGTCATTTAAGTAAAAATACGGTAGTAAATACCTATAATTATACTCATTCAAGGTCCAAACCAAAATTAAAAATAGTCAATAAATTTTTTTCTTATAGAAAAACGTAGTGATTGTACGTTGAATAGATATAGATTAGTTGGTACGAATATGTATATAGGTACGTGTGTATATATAAATTTTCATTTTTATTTTGTATAATAATTACATTTTCATCGATCTAACACCTATTTTTATACCGACCACCAATAAAAATTTGACAGTTTGTAATTTTTYTGAAAAATAGAAAAATAATCTCCCTTTTTATGTATTTTTTTTCTTAATCGTCAAAATTTTAGTGGCAGTAAACAAAATATTGTTACTAAATGCATCTAAATATTTTTCTTTTAAGTTGGCTTGGGCCTTTTAGGTAACTTTTGGATTTTTTTTTTCATCATTCATTTTATGTCTATAATTTATTTTGTTATTAACAAGTGCATGTCGTTTGTTGTTATTTTTAAGAAATGTTATCAATTTTTTATGTAACTTTTTGAAACAAAAGGTTCTATTTTTTAAATTGTTTTACAATTTTCATTTATAAAAATACAATAATTTTGGACAGTTTACTTCTTAAAAAAGTACGTTCCAAATTAATTTTCTTCCCTTTTTTTTTGAATAAATACTTCTTAAAAGTTTTTTCAAACAAACAAACAAAAGAAAAACCCCTTTTCTTTAATTCATTTTTCCAAAAAGAAAAAGGGGGAAAATCTYCTTTTTCACTCTACACAATTTTTACTATTTCTTATTTTAAAAAGATGCTTGTATTTTTATTCGATGACTGTGTTGGTTACTCTATAACTAGATAACACAATTATTACCATTCTTAACGTTGATTTCAACTKTGCAATAGTTGAACTATATATATTTATATATTAAAAGAGATTATTATTACTTCATTTCTTCTTCACTCTACCTTTGGATGATATGTTAATTAGATAAATAAATGATAATTTGTTGCGATGTGACACGAAGAAGTAGATCGATTTAATAAAAATAATACAGGATGAGTCAAATAATTCAATATTTTAAATAAATTTTTTCTCTTCGTCTATTATTATTTTATATGTATCCTGATACTTCRTTATTGTTAGATCATATTTAAATATCGACATTAATGTAAAGGCTGGTTATAAACCAATTAAAAAAAATTAAAAGCATAATAAAAATTTGAGAAAATTGAATTAGCAAAAGCTTAGGAGTTGGGACAAAATTTCCAAACATATATGTATAAAAAAATAGTTAATGGTGATGAAGTATCTAAAAAAAGATAAGAACGAAAGCGACAGGTGGAAAGGCCAAAATTACACGTGTTACACGTGTGTTCCCTACAGAGAAAAATTTCTTGATCCTTTTAAAGAATTTTTACTTTAATTATAATTATATATAGAAGTAAATTTGACAATTATGTTTATTTTACCATCACGCATAATTAAATCACTAATGATCCCCTGTTTTATTCTGATTATTTTTTACTAAATAAATTAATATATTTTTAAATGCATTATCACTTTTACTGTTTTTATTATATAATTTAGAAATTACGTGACTACTAATGGTTTGATCAATTTAACTAAAATAAAATATCTCTTAATATAAAACTCAAATTCTAAACAAATAACATTTACCGCTATTTAAAAAAAAARRAAAARRAAAAWKGRRKTTYMWT